TGTGTCCCTGTCTTCCTTCTCACCCTCCCTCCCCATCGTTCTCTCTGCTTTTAAATTTCATCTGTTCTCTGGATGTTCTTATCTCTGAAGCTCTGTGCTGACATGAGGGAGGCAGGTGTGTGTGTGTGTGTGGGTGTGTGTGTGTGTGTGCGAGAGAGAGAGAGAGATAGGGGAAGGGGCCGGCGAAAAGGGAAGGGGAGAGAAAACACGCATCTTTAGAAATAGATATTATTTCACTCAACCTCCTCTTTCTAAAGATAAGGAACAATCACTGCTCAGAGTCGTGGCCAGTAAATGGCAAAGGGAGAAATTCAAACCAGCTGTTCTGAGTCTTTCATCTCCTTGTGGATGCTGCAGGAGAGGAGATCTGACAGGAGGAGATAAATAAAAAGGTCCACAGTAAAAAAAAAAAAAAAAAAAATCAGCTTTTCTCTGATTTTCATTATATTTTGGCAAGTAACCAAGGATGGTCCCCTGACCCCAATTCCCAGCCACCCAGGGAGCTAGAGACTTGCCCTCTGCCAGGACCTTGCAACCACACAATCCACTTCTATCTTCTCATTGACAACAGATCATCATTAACCCAGCTGTGGCGGAGTCAGAACTTAAGGCTCAGAGAGGCCAAGCAGTTGGCCCCAAGGCATTCAGCAGGCCAACCAAGGAAAGTGAGAAGAAAACCCAGTTCCCATGGTCTGCTCTGGATGAAGACACCAATTCATCAAAACCAAGGAGTCCTGGGGATCAGGGACTTGCCACCTGCATCTTCTCTGCTTCCCCTGCCCTCAGCCTGCAGGCACATGCTGGAGGTAAGAATGGGGTATCCTCTCATCATCATAGCTCTTATTTATTAAGGATCCCCATATCTCAGAGCTGATGTGGTTTGTAGCATCAGATTCCTTGTCTCTGAGTCCCATGTCCTGGCTCACCTCTGAGAGCAGCACTTGGTGCCGTAGGGGTCTGGGCTGGGGAACAACACAATTGGTACCCCCCTAATTAGGCACCCCCTTGCTGTGCAGACTCAGCCCAGTGTCTTCCCCTCTCTGGGCTTTGGTGAGAGAATTTATACTAGAATTTATACTATCAAATACTAGAATTTATACTAGAATTTATACTAGAATTTATACTATCAAATTGAGGTTCAAGGGACATTTAATTAGTAAGAAGAGCCACCAGGGATCCTGTGTTTCCAGTAGAGGTGTATGGAATGCTTTCCAAGCTTCTGTAGAACTTGGCCTTTGACCAAAAAAAGTTCCAGGGCTTTAAAAAGTTTGAAAATGCATAACTGTGAAATTGTAAGACTTAAGTCTCTCAAAGCTACAGGTCCACTCGCTCCAACACACATTTTCAGTTCTGTTCTCAGGAGTGGCCAGTTCTAGAGGACAGCATCCCCTCACCACACACACTTCCTGCCAGGCTCAGCTTCACGTGTGGGCCGAGGACAGTCCGTATGAGGCGCCCATGGAGAGGTGGGACTGTGGGTTCTCTCTCTACAACACCATCTCCTGGCCCCAAAGCTAGGCATAGATAGAAAGTGTCTATCGTGCATTCGAGAGGCACCACTGCAGACTATCTTCCACCTCCTCGTTTCACAGATGAGATCACGAAGGCCATGGACATTAGGTGACTTAACCAAAGTCACACAGCAAATTAGAGATTAGAAAGAACAAAGGCTCGACTTTTACCAGGACTTAATGGGTGCGGTGACCCTGACAATTGGTTGGGACAAATGTAAAGACCTTTCATGCACATTCAGAAGGCTGGCCTCCTTAATTGTTAATAATGATCAAGTTGCTTCCTGCCCTAGGTGGGTGGCAGGCTGGGGGAAGAGGGCAGTGAACTGGTAGTAGCAGGCAGTCTCAGTCTGGTCTTGGGCTCCTCTACAGTAAGTCCCGCAGCTGGGGTGGAGACCTCTTGTGAGCGAGCCTGCAGATAGATCCTTGGGCACAGAGATGGACGGAGCAGCTAGAGCCCAGAGCAGGCCATCCCAGGGCCAGTCTGCTTCCTCCCCTTTCAGCTGGCACATTTGCTGGGTTCTCATGATGGTTTAGAAGGCAAAGAAGTATCTCTGCATTTTGTGTTCCCACCTCTTGTGCAGACACCAGCAGGTCCCTTGTGTGTTTTCAGTATTTATCCAGCATCTACTTTATTCATTGGCATGGACCCAAGACTCTTTATTGTCCCCCAACCTCCCAACACTTTGTGGCATTCCCTTTACAGATGAGGCTACTAAGGCTCAGAGAGGTGACATAATTTGCATGGGATACACAGCAAGAATGGCAAAGCTGCTCCTGGGGCCTTGGTCATCCTGACTCCAAATCCAGGGCTCTTTCTGCCCCACTGCACTGTCCAATTCCACAACAGCCCAAGCTTGAGCCTGGTTTCTCCTTAGTTTTCCTGCCTCAGGGGTCCAACAGCCTCAGGAAGACAGGATCTGTCTTTTCGCGTAATGACCATCTTCTCTGTAACTGCCTAGTCTGGCTCTGGGATGAGTCATTACAACTTGGGTTTCCAGTCTGTTTCCCAATCCACCTTCTCCATATGCATAGAGCTCACCTAGGCTTTCACTCTTGGTCTGCTTCCTCCCAGGTAATCTTCTATGCAAAACAGGTTTGCATTAACCAACCAATAATTTAACATTAAACTACACAGGCTGATTCCCTAGGTCACTCTGCGGTGGAGAGCTGGAGGACACTCTATTCTATTCTTCTCAGTCTTCTCCAGGACCACTGTCTTTCTCCATTTCTGATTTTCCTCTCTCATAACTATTCTTTATTTGGCTAAAAATTTTTCTGAATAATATTATATAACAATGGATAGAGCAGCCCATAATTATAGTTCATCATTAGAATGGGAACCACAAATTCACATGTACAAGGGCTCAAAAAGCAATGAAATGTATAAAGCTAATCTAATCTATGAAAAGTATTAATGAATGATAAGAAATACTTCACACTGGGAGTGGAGGAGTTCATGCTCCCTGAAAAAGGAGAGTCATATGCCTCCTGACCATTGCCAATAATAGAAACCTGGACCCATTATGGCCAAATTTATGATCCTGAAGATCTAGTTTGGTTTTTTCTTTTTTTCTTTTTTCATTCTTTTTTTTTTTTTTTTTGGTCTGGAGCATTATAGTTATACACAATAGTTGGGTTCATTTTGAAAAAATCAAGAGATTCATGAAATTTGATTCATTCCATTTTCATTTCAAGTTCTTTCAACTCTTTCCTTCCCTTATTTCCCGTTCCTCTACTGATCTTTCTTTCACTCGTTTATTTATTTTTAATTGGTACTTTCTACGTATACATAAAGGTGGAATTCCCAGTGATACATTCATACATGTATGAACAGTGTGGTTTTGTTAAATTCATTCGCTTTTCTTCCCTTTTCCTATCTCTTCTCCCTCCCTGTTGATAGCTGCCTTCTACTCCACTGATTTTTCCTATAGAAGATCTACTTTTTTATGTATAAGTAAAATTTTGGCAATTAAGCCTGGCACAGTTGTGCATATCTATAATCCCAGTGATACAGCAGGCTGAGGCAGGAGAATCACAACTTTGAGGCCAGCCTCATAATTTAGTGAGATTCTAAGCAATTTAGCAAGACCCTATTGCAAAATTTTAAAATTAATAATAAAAAGAGCTAGGGATGTGGCTCAGTGGTGAAGCACCCCTTTTAAAAACTAAACAAACAAACAAAACAGGTCTAAGGTTATATTTGGCCAGTAGGTCCTCCTCAACTGTATAGTGTTAGTGTGAAGCATAGTGTTAGCTTTTGGTTTATGCCAGATATTCTTTATAAAGTCAAGATAGTTTCTATATATGCCATATTAAATGTCTCTGTGACAGTTCAGAAAACAGAAAGTTGAAAGGAATCTATGAAGCCAGGGTACTAAAAGAGGTCCCAGTCAAAAACGGATACCTTGAGATATTCTACCCAGCCACATATCATCAGCTCTTAGCAAAAATTGCCTTTCACAAAACCATAGAATTTTGAGTATGTTAGGAACAAAGCAAATATTTTTGAGTCATAAAGCAGAACAATAATGAATATTAAAAGGTAGACTCAACCACAGGGAAAAAAATTTTGAATCTCCTGATGTTCACTGTCTCCAACAAAGCAAAACCAGTTTATTGGCACCACACTGACAGTGTGAAAAACAAGTCTTTGTAGTATTTCTAATTAAGAAAGCATGACAAAAAATAATTAATTGTGCAATTCAAACATTATTAACTTAAGATTATATCTCCTTTGGATGTATGCAGTAGGATTATTCTTATATTGGTAATTCCAAAAATTGTTTATAGAGCCAAACTCAATTTATCCAAGATCTTCTCTTAACTATAAAATATCCTGCCCCAATATTTAAGAAAAACAACCTTCATATTTGTTAAGACAATGTTATAGTGAAAATGTTGATAAAAATTATTGAATGACTGACATAATCAATGCCATTGAAGCTCAGTCAAGATTCAGTTTAGAAAACTAAATGTTAAAGTTTAACTCTAATCTTTATTGTACTTAATATTTAATTTAGTGCCCAATGTCCTTAAATCTCATCTGAACAATGATAAAAAAATTTAATCCAAATAATGAATTTAATAGTCCCAACTCTGATCCTCATCTTCATCCACATAGGGTTTAGCAACTTCTGTAGTCCCAAGAGAAAAAGGAAAATGGAGTCAACATAAGGTTGAGTCAGGAAAAGGAGAAACAGATTCCCACAGGCCAGAAAAGAACATAATCTACGCTGCTACCCTGGACTGACTGGAAATACCGTTTGCATCAGTGTGACTCTCAGTAAATCCTGAATCTCATTCCGAAATCATTCAGAATATAATTGGGAATTATTTTTGGTGTTTCCACATTTCAGTCCAAAGTTTCCTGATTCTGTTAGAAAATGTAAATGAAACAATGGGTGTGCAAATTCCTTACATTCTCTTAACACAGGAACTCAATAAATTCCATATCCTAAAAATTCTTTAAAAAACAGGAAGATCACAATGCAGGAACTCAACCAGTCCACCGTGACAGAATTCATTCTACTGGGCTTCACCCCCAACCCCAGGACCAACCCTCTGCTCTTCATCTTCTTTTTAGTTTTCTACCTGCTGATCCTTGTGAGCAACAGTCTCCTTATCACACTCATCCACCAGGACTTGCGTCTCCACACACCCATGTACTTTTTCATCAGTGTCCTTTCCCTGCTGGACGTGTGCTACACCACCACTACTGTGCCCCAGATGCTTGTGCATATTCTCAGCAAGAAGAGGACCATCTCTTTTGCTAGATGTGTGGCCCAGATGTACATTTTCCTCCTCTTTGGGGTTACGGAGTCCTGGCTTTTCTCCATCATGTCTGTGGACAGGTATGTGGCCATCTGCCACCCTCTCCGATACAAAGTCATCATGAGCCGTAGGATGTGTCTTCTTTTGGTGGGTATCTGTGCAGCCTATGGTGTGGTGGGTGGCCTGTGCTATACCTTCTTTGCTATGTACCTGCCCTACTGTGGTCCTAATGAAATTGACCACTACTTCTGTGAGGTTCCTGCTGTTCTGAAGCTGGCCTGTGCAGATACATCCCTCAATGATTTGGTGGACTTCATCACAGGCTTCAATGTCATTGTGGTTCCACTCACCCTGGTTGTCATCGTCTATGCCAACATCTTTGCCACCATCCTGAAGATCCGTTCAGCCCAGGGGAGGATCAAGGCCTTCTCTACCTGTGCCTCCCACATAACTGTGGTCACCATGTTCGCCATTCCATGTATCATCATGTACATGAGCCCTGGCTCTGGGTCCTTATCAAACAGTGGCAAGAAAATGGCTCTTTTCTATAATATTGCCACAGCCTTCCTCAATCCTGTCATCTACAGTCTAAGGAATAAGGATGTGAAGAAGGCTTTCCTCAAGTTGATGGGATGGAGCAGGGCTCCAGAGTGAGGCTTTAAAGACCTGGAGAGCTGAAAAAAAAAAAAAAAAAAAAAACAAACAAACAAACAAACAAATAAGACTTACAATCACCCATTCTCCAAGACTCTTCCACGAGACGAGGAATAACTGGCTCTGTCAAGCCAGCTCTTCACCAAAGCAAAGTGGGTACTTGCCATCTGCTATATGAATGGTGATATTATTTGAGACAAACAATTGCAATGGTAGGATGCAGTAGTGAAGAGCTTGGATTTTAGTGCCAGACAAACCAGAATAAGAGCCTTGTTTTTTACTGATTATTAGATTCATAAATTTTTGCCAGTCATTTAATTTCTCTGAGGTTTATAATTCTTCCTCACATGGAAGTTGCAATGATGAAATGAGATAATTTATGAAAAGTGCTTAGTACAGGGCCTGGAAAATAGTAATCTTTCAATAAAGTTAGTTCTATTAAATTTGTTGATTAACTGAATTTATTGCTGAGGAATGAACCATCAACTAGTAATTAGCCATGATCTTCCTGGGCTGTGGAAGTGACTAGAGGACTAGAGGGAAAAGCAAAACTAGAAACCCACAAACTGCAAAGTGGAGAATCTTAGAGTGAAACAGACTTGCAAAGGAAGAAACAAACCTATATCTATCCATTAGGAATTGTGCACTTAGAGCGCACAAGGGTGATTGAAATGATCTTGGGGAAAGCACTGGTTTATAACTAATTTGTGTGTGTGTGTGCGTGTGCGCACGCTTTTAAAAAAATCTTTTACCTCTTGATTTTTCCTTCTCCCCTTTTTTTGATAAGGTCCATTTTGGAAAATTGCATCCTATCTTGGGTGATATCAAGGAAAAGGGACTCTGTTCACAGAAAAGAGGAGAGAAATGAGGGAAATTAGAAGAGGAAAGAATGGGCAGAGCTCTGCCTGCCCCCGGATGCAAAATCTAGGCAGTCTCAAGAGAGGAAAAACTCAACAGGGAGTTTTGGTTCTGTTCCCTTTCAATTGGAGGATCCTCCCCCAACCAAACTCTGCATATTCCTAATAGAATCTTTACAAACACAAATTGTTTTCTTTCCAGGCTTCACCATTCTGTAGGGTCACCCATCATTATGCTGTCCTGGCTTCTGCCTCTACTGGCTGCTGCAGAAACTCCAGTACCCAACATAGCAACCCCTAGAAGGCCCTAGAGATGTGCCTCACAAGTTAATATGCAGCTCCTCCCTTCAGTTCTTCTTCCTCAGTCCCTCACTGATATATTCCTCCTATGCAATCCCTTGTAAAAAAAAAAAATCAACTGGGACGACCTGAAAATTTTAACATGAATGCCTGTGCCCCCTATGAGAGCCAGGATCCATCCCAAGGGTGCAGGTTCCCAGTGATCTCAAAGGTGTTACCTTACCCACCCACCCAGGATCCAGAAAGTTGCATAAGTAATACTGCAAAATTAAAGGTAGGTGACAAAACAGGAACTATAATTGCAAAATACTTATAGATACATGGTTAGTATCATTAACACAAAAAGAGCTTTCATAAATTAGTAACAAATACACAAATGCTTCAGAAAACTGGCAACAGAAATCCAAACTGCTGATTAACATATAGGGAAATCCCACCACAATAAGCATCAAAAAATGCAAATTAAAATATCAATGAAATATCACTTTGAAATTGCTAGAGTCTTTAAATAAAGTCAGAGGTGGCCAAAATGCAATGAAACATGGACATTCATAGATTTCTAGTGGAAATATAGATTAATCTTTTTGAAGATGAATAGTTTTATGTATTAAGAATATTAAACATGTCCATGCCCTTCAACCCAATAATTCTACTTTGGGGACATTTTAAGAAATAAATATCAGAAGCATAGAAAATGTATCACAAAATTTTTCATTGTGTGACTTATGATAGGGAAAAAGTGAAGTCAATTGAAAACATTTTTATAATAGTGTGTCATTAAAATATGGTATGGACAATAATGGTATACTTACTCTGTGGCCATTGAAAATGTTATTTCATAAGTATAATGTGAATTCTCCCAACATGATGTAAAGCAGACCAAAAAGCAGGAAATCACACCATTAATATTTGTAAATGCCTTTTCACTCATGAAATCAGATGTCAGAATCTATAATGGTGGGAGAGGGCTACTAGGTCAATGTTTCTCTGCTAACACACACACACACACACACACACACACTACTCCAGTTATGAACCTTAGTTGATTATAATGTATCAACATTACTTCATCAATTATAACAAATACACGCTAATATGAGATGTTAATAATAGAGAAAACTATGTATTGGGGATAGTGAGAAAGGATATATAAGAATTTCACTTTCTGTGTAATTTTTCTGTAAACCTAAAGCTGCTCTAAGAATAATAATTTTTGAAAGTCCAATTGAAAATACCAGAAATAAAAAGCATGATATCAGAACTGAATGGTTTATTCTACTAACTTATCTAACAAAAGAATATGGCAGAGAAAAGAACCAATGAACTCCAAGATAGGCCCACAGAAATCATGCCGTGAAACACTAAAAGGAAAAAAAGATGGAAAATGAACATAACATCAAGAGATGTAGGATAATATCAAACAGTCTTACATTCATGTAATTAAAGCTAGAGGAAAAAAAGAGAAAAAACGGGATGGAAAAATAGCTCTTGGGGCTGGAGTTGTGGCTCAGTAGTGAAGTGCTTGCCTAGCACGTGTGAGGCACTGGGTTCAATCCTCAGTGCCACATAAAAATAAATAAATAGAGGTATTGTATCCATCTACAACTAAAAAAAAATTTTTTAAATGTAGCTCTTTCCTAGCATAAGCCTAACATTTGCTAAGATACACCATATACTGGAACCAACCAGATGTGCTCAATAGATGAATGAATAGGGAAACTTTGGTATATATATATATATATATATATATATATATATATATACAATGAATATTACTCAGCATAAAAAGATAATAAAATCATGGCATTTGCAGGTAAATGGATGGTGTTGGAGAATATCATGCTAAGTGAAGTAAGCCAATCTCAAAAAACCAAAAGCCAAATGTTTTCTCCAATGTAAGGATTCTGATTCATAATGGCAATGGTGGGCTGAGGGGGGGCATGGGAAGAATGGAGGAACTTCAGATAGAGCAAAGGGGAGGGAGGGGGGAGGAAGGGGAAAGGGAGGAGGCATGGGGATAAGAAAGACTGTGGAATGAGTTAGATATCATTACCCTAAGTACATGTATAAAGATATGAATGGTATGAAAATACATTGCATACAATCAATGACTTGAAAAATTGTACTCTTTATGTGTAATAGGAAATGAATTACATTCTGCCATCATATATAACAAATTAAAATAAATAAACAATTTAATAAAAAATGTAGTTCTTTCCTACAATAAGTCTAACATTTACTAAGGTACACCATATCCTGGAAAATAATGTAAATTTTAAAATAAGTAAAATCATACAAGGTAAGTTATCTGGCCACAAAGAACCAAACTACTAATCAATAACAGAAAGATAATAGAAAATTCTCCAAATAATTAGAAATTAAATTCCACACTTTTAAATTCCATGGATCAAAGAGGAAATCTCAAGAGAAATGAAAAATATATTTCACAGAAAAAAGGTGAAAGTACAACATATAAAGGTCTGTAATTTATGGCTAAAGAATTAATCACTTCTGGGACTGGGGTTGTGGCTCAGTGGTAGAGCACTTGCCTGGCATGGTGAGGCCCTGGGTTCGATCCTTAGCACCACATAGAAATAAAGAAATAAAGTAAAATATCTACTGGCAACTAAAAAATATTTTTAAAAAAGAATTAACTACTTCTTTGGAAAAGGAGATTAATAGTAATAATGATATATATTAGAAAAAAAGAAAAGTCCTCAAGCAATATAAGTTCCCATCAAAAAAACTAAAAAAAAAAAAAAAAAAAAAATACACCCAAAAATAAACATAAGGAAGAAAATAATAAAGATAAAAACAAAATTAAACTAAAAATATGAAAAAGCAATAAAGAAAATCAATAAGCTAAAAACCAGGTCTTTGAAAGCACCATAAAATTGACAAAATTTCAGCCAAACTGACATAAATTACTAATATAAGGAAAAAATAGGGGACATCACTACAAACCCCATAGACATTTAAATGATATTAAAGGATTAAACAAATTACTCAAAAAACACAAAGTACTCACCAAAGATGAAATAGATGAAAAGCTTTTTAACCTATGGACAAAATTGTATTCCCTGCTCCCCATTCCTATGTTGAATCCCTGGTCATCCAAAATGTATTTAGAGAGGGGGCTTTTGGTGACTAATTAGGTGTAGATGAAATCAAGAGGACAGGGCCCTCACAACAGAATTCACACCAGAGGAAAGGCCATGTGAGAACATGACAAAAGGGCAGCCGTCTACAAGTCGGAAAGAGAGCTCTAACCAAGAAACAAATCTATCAGCACCTCAATCTTGGACTTCCCAGCTTTTGAAACTGAGAAAAATAAATTCTTATTGTTTAACCCAATCTGTGGTATTTTATCATTGTATGGTGACCTCAGCTAAGACACAAATCAAATCCATAAGTATATAAAGAGTAAATACTATAGCTAAGTGTGTTTTATTCTAGGAATGCAAGACTGGGCCAATATTTGAAAATCAAAGTCATTCATCATGTTAACAGTCTAAAGAAGAAAATCTTCCTTTACTGTTATGATCATATCAGTTGAATCTGAAAAGTCATTTGACAAAATTTGACACTCATTCGTGATTTAAACAAAACAAACTTAGCAAACTGAGACTAGAAGGGAATCTCCTCATCTTGGTAAAGAACATCTACAAAAACATCCAGCTAATATTATATTATACATAATGATAAAAGATTAGGTACTTTCCCCCTACCATTAGGAAAAAGTCAAGGGTGCTTGCTTCCTCTCACTACTTCTCTTTAAAACAGTATTGGAAGTCAGAAAATAAAAGATTGGAAAGAAGAATTCAAACTGCCTCTATTTGCTGA